ATCTTAATTTTAGCAATACGCACAATATATAATTGCAGGAAAATTTAACTATTATTATTACTATTACTATGCATCTCATAAATATGCGTAGAGCCTATTAATTTCGCTCTTATCAAGAACTAATATAAGAACGAGTTTATGTAGAATTGTGGTCTATTTATAACGGTGGATTCATATTTGAAGTGAATTATTTAACTTTCTTGACCATTTCTTATATGCTCAGTTGTGTTCGGCCACTTAAAGAAGAGACGTTTCCACCTTTATTGAGCCCTGAAAAGCCATGTCATTTTCCTTCTTCTCCTACTCGCATTCATGTTCTGAGTCTCTAAGGTGCAGCCTATCTGCATTTTATTCTTCAGCTATCCACATACTTGTTTTTACGACACTTATTGTGATTTCACAGCTAACAACACTAGTTGTGCTTTTTATTACTAATCAGCAGCATGCAGGAACTTACAGCCATAGGTGGTATGTTTGACTACGACGGCATCACTTATAGACTATTGCTCTTTGGTCTAAGTGGAGAGCCAACAAGGAAAATACTTGCATATTATGTGATACCTCTATTAGTTCCACTTGCTTAAATATCCGTAATGTATTAATTGATGGATGGAATAATGACTACTGGTATCATTAGAAATTTGCAACTAAAGTGTGACCTACATTTTTTTCTTATTTCTGAATAATTTGCTGATATATTTCTGAACTTTAAAAACTTTCAGGTCCAACCCTTATGCACGCTTATTCTCTATGGCTATTTCCATTCCATCTAACTTACTTTAGTTCTTCCTCCGTCTATATTCATCTTAATGCACTTTCATACGAAATGAAGGTCTCTCCAACAATGTTATCTTATAAGATTCATCGAAACCCAGTTACTGTTCATTATCTACCGAAACTTCCGAAACATGCTCACAACTTAGTAAATAATGAGTTCCCTGATGAAATAACTAGTGGGAATATATTGCTTAAATTATGTTGCTTATTTGTTGATAGTTCTGTAGCAGCAATTACGGTCACATCTTAAAATTCACCTCTAAGCTGAAGTGACCACGCTGATAGAGCATGCTTCCATAAAAAACTTGCAAGCTCGAAAAAGATATAAACTTTTTGATATTTTCAAAAATATTTAACCGATTTAACCGTCCTTAGAATACATTTCCTTGCTAGTGGCTTGGATTAAACAAATTGAATAGAAGTTGTTTAATAAAAGGTCTCCTATCCCTCCACTTCTAAGAGCTCCCTAATTAGGCGAAGTTAGAGCTGTAAAATTCCAGAACATTGAATATTCACCAGTATTATATTCATAATCCTCATGCTTCCTGACTATAATCGATAGAAAATTTCAATGTGCGATATTAATCCATTTTCAATAGCTTCTTATTTGATTCACTTCACATATAAATCTCCTTGTTACTAGCACGAATTACTCATTTTTTGCATACCTCATATGACTCGGCCTCTCAAGTTCTCAAGATTCCTGGGGTTAGGCCTCCATTTTGACCTCAAAAATATAAAAGTATAAATTATCTTCATACTATAATATCTGATTGCATATGGTCATAAAATCTTATTCAATTAATCCAGACGTTATAATGCAAGTACACGGAGACTTTTATGAGCCAGACCAGAGTCCAAGTTTCATGACGCCAGACGTTAGTGAAGTTACTTAGCAAAGTCTTTAGTGATGTAAGCAGAGACTGGGTCAGTTTTCCAAGGGAGAAGCTCTCTTCTGATAGGCAGGAATGATTGCAGTTGTCACAAGTAATGGGAGTAGGAGAGGTCTTGGAGTTCGCAACAGGGATGCATGAAGCCATTTTTCCAAGACGAGCGCGGCCCTTAGAGAACCGTAATTCAAGCACGCCACTAACCGTATCGCATCGGCCTCCAGCCCCGTCTTGCCATCAGACCGCCAGTGCTGTCCACGAGGATGCTGTCTGCTAATAAGCGACCCTGGCTACGAGGTAAAATTGTGTGAAGATTGGCCTCTGGATAATTTTCGCCTGATCGACTCGAGAAAGTGTTGGTCAGAAGGTTTTTCATCAACCAGTCGAGTCGCTCGTCTCCTAGAAGGTCAGCAGTGTCTTCAATAGATACTGGCAACCCTTTCTGCCCAGCAGGCTTGGCAGTTGCCGAACGGACCAGAAAAGAGGAATGGAAGAGTAGTAGAATCACACATGAGAAGACGGTCACCAGTAGAGAGCAGCTCGCCATGTAGCCTGACATAATTTCATCTGCACTGTCAAAGCCTTCTTGTCTACATATATATACGGACTTTCGGGTATTCTAGCTGATTTTCAGCCTATACCTCTGCTCCACTGTCCCAACCACTTCAACCCCCTTTCCTTCTCTCCCTTAGCTTGTCACTGTCTTGCTTGTCCCCTTGTATCCTGTTTCTCTTCTCTCCCAATATTTTTTTCCTTCCTTAATTTTTCCTGTAGTTTAGGGTGTTCCGCCACATTAGATCTGTGTGAGAACTGATAGCATGGTACCAGGCTTCACAGCCTAATAGCCGGCGCGTGGGCTGTAAATGAGCCAGAGCGCAGGGATAGGCTAGTAGGAGACGGGCTATAGGCGCTTTATAAGCACTATTAAAACTTTGCATACAAATAGGTAGAGGAGAAGATTAACAAAAATGTAAAACAGACAAAATGTCAGACATTCATAATAGTAATTAACTAATAAATAGATGGGTAGCTAGGCACACCGAATGGTGTCTAAAGTTTGAATTAGGGATCACTCAAGAGCTTGATAAGCTAATGGATATAAGGACTATAGATAAGATATTCGTTAAAATATAGTGGAATAAAGCTAACTCAATTGATGGATATATATTTTTAAATGGCCTAAGCAGAAAAGAGCAATATATGGAGGAATATTATGATTGGTATCAAGGTGGAGCTTGCTAATATGAAAGTGAAATAAGCTTATGGAGCCAAACAGCTAAGCGAATATACAATATATGCTCAAATAGATAGCGTGTCTAGGTAATGAAAGTAACGCAATTGAGGCAACATAAATATGGATAGTATAATAAATGAAAATTTATAGAGCAGATTCATTAGCAAATCGAAATAGAACCTTAAAACTTTATGTAGAGTGGTTTGCTATGAGAGTGTTACTAATTATATGTTATAGGCAAATCCTAATTAGCACAAAAATATAAATATATTTCTTTTATTTCATCCACATACAAGATTATTTAATGGGTCTGGTGAACTCTATTTGACCAACTGAAGGTATCATAATTTCCATTCTTTGCCCTTTTACATTTGATCGAATACTCTAAACATTTGGTAGAGCTACTAACACCAATGACGAATTTTTTGTTCCTCAGACTGATAAACTATCCATCCCATGCTAATAGTTATGCTAGAGTGGTAATCAGAAGATTTATCTTTGAAATCAATATAATGAAAATCGGCATAGCAACCAGTTCATAACTCAGTTTACTTTGCATTTAATGATATTATTCCATTGATGGACTTTGCAGAATACATACATACAGCTACATACATACTGCTTCCCAAGGCTGGGTTAAAAAATGACTCTGAAAAATGACTTAAGTTATATTCATAATGCTTACCTGATATTGAAATAAAATACTTTTAATACGTGAATAATTAAGGATTTGACGACTAATTTTGCTAGTGTATATAACTCTTTGGTACCTCAATCAGAAGCTGAATAATATCTCTGTCAACCATTAAACTCCCAAGTATGCCCTTTATACAGGGCTTCACTTCGTCTATAAGGAATTACAGAGTAAAGCTGCCTTTAAATTGCACCTTCGAATTGATAAACTAAAATAAATTTCAATAAGTTAAAGAATGACTGAAACAAATTCCGGGATGTAATAAATAGGATACTTTATTTTACTTTGATAAATGGGGGAATATTTATTACCAGACTCGTTCATATAATGTGCTCAAAGAGATCATGAAAATGGCCATATCATCATCCTTTTTTACGAGTTGTAAAGATACATTTCGGAGCCTTATTTTAACTTGGCAACGGTCCATATTCTTATGGAAGTAAGGTTTCGAGACTACCAGTAAATCAGTGTA